TCGCTTACACACTAGTAAGTCTGACAAAAAGAAGGAAGACTGGGTATGGGGCTAGCAGTCACACCCATCCCCCCAAAAACACCATTGCTACTGAAACTTCAGAACTCAGTCTTCAAGCCCTATGTTCCACTTGAAAAGCCAAGGAATAGAAACAAATTAATCGTAGCTCATTGTTCATTGCTGCATGGTTTTAGAAAATGTATCATAAATTAATGAGAAGTTGTGATTGAAGGTATTAACCAAGTCCGTTTTATAACCAAATACTCCCTGAAAACACTGAAATGCAGAGGCGTACCATATTCCGAACCGATAAGTGTTGTGTAACTGCAGTCTGTAGGATTTTAAATTAGTTGTTGAGGGACAATACGTTGACCGCAAGATTTGGCGGTTTCCAGTCTGATTTTAAGTGTGGTAGGGAATCTGAGTTAGTGAAATTTCAAAAGGAAGCGAGCCAGATATGTACAATGTAACCTTGTATCTGTTAATTCACTAACTAGTGTCATATTCGGTGTAAGACATCAAGTTACCTCCACCTTTATAGATGATATGGTATGGCCGGAGTTGGATCCTTCTTTCGAAATCCTTCCATGTGACCAAGCGTTCACTGCCTCCATGAAGCCTGGGTGTTCTTCACAGAGACAGGAGGGAGAATGCGGACGTCTGGCGTTTACAACCCAACTAATGGACATGCTGGTCTATCTAAGGGTGCTGAAAAACACTGATTCCAATGTTATCGCTTACACGGGTACCAGAATCTGAAAGGGTCAAATGGTGTATGAACCAGTTCTGGCCACTGGAAACCATAGGAAAGTAGGTCCCGACGCTGCCCCATGGTCTTGTGGATCAGATTTCAAGTCAGAGGCCCGAGGATGGAGATTGTGGCCCTCGTAATAACCACTCGCTTCGGTAGTATCTCAGCTCTCTCACAAATTAGGAGATTTTGTATGGAACATCTCTTGCTACCCATAAAACACCTCATTTATGATAGAAACAACAACAATAACAATAATTTTTTGTCTTCACGAATGGGTCTTAAAAGCCTTATTAGGAACTACACTTCATGTCGGTATCAGATATTCTACTTGTGTTAAATTTGGCATGCAAAAAAAGAATACCATCTCACATTAACCAAAATAAAATTTAGAAAAATTACCTCCGATGTATTTATAAATAGTGTATAGCAAAATGTGGTATGCCGCTAGATATTTGTTTTGCAACGAGGCTATAAATATTCATCTTATAAGAATAAAATGCACAATCAATAAACAATAGGCGTAATGAGACAATCGATATCTTTTTGTAATATAATTCACGTCTGATTGGTTCAGAAATATCTGACTTTAACAATGAATGCCAGTAAATTAAGCTATACACTCATGAGTCATTCTTTACTGCACACAATTTGTACTGAACATCCATTTTGTGCACTCAGAAAATAAAATTGTATTATGTTGCTTGTGTGAATGTGTTGAAGACTTATCATTATTATTATTATTATTAGCACTACCGATTATCAAATAGAAGGTATAATTTAGGCAAATGAAATGAGTCACTCTTAGAATCAAACACAAAAAGAACTGAATAAAAACACTGTCCAACCCAATACCCACAATAAAGTCCGAGATTTGTTCCAACTTTAATCCCGGTTTGATGTCATTTAAAGAACCACCGAAAATCATTATGTATTGGATAGCTGTTTTGTCCTCGCTTGGGACTCTTTAGTAGTACCTAGTTGTTACCAAAATCAACGATCGAACCCAGGAATTTCCAGTAACAAGGTGAGCCCATCAGATCGCAATTTCTATCGCTACCGCCAGCCAATGTCATCAGAGGGTATCTGTCCTCACGCCCAACATGATGAGAAAGTCGTGACCAGTGGGGTCCGTTCACTAAGTCGACTGAGAGGATAAATACTCGCCGACGACACTGTCTGGCGGTAACGAGAAAAATTGTAAACTGACAGAAGTTAAAATTCACATATGGGCTATTCATTTCCATCCCACTGGCTGAATGGTCTACGATCTTGCCTTATGACTGGAAGGTCCCGGGTTCAAACCCCACGGGATGAGTACTGCTATCGGAGACTCGTTGATTTTCAATGAATTTTTTAACTAATATCGGTCCGTGATCAAACCTCAGATAAATCAAATTCCTACAAACTAACTCTTGAAAATCCGGGATATTTACATACATGCAATTCAACTGAAATTTAGTAAAGACCCGTATACAATTTACACGCTCCGTCCTCAGTACTTTCCTTCATTTTGAATCTAGAGGTCTAGACCTTAGTGGAATGCTATACTGGTTAATTCTGTGAGCAAGTTCATTCTTATGAGAAGTTAAAACCCCTCATATCAAATATTAGTGCTTCCTGAAAAGTTTGAAGTGATCTGAACACAGGGCTACCTTTTCGCTCATTTACAGCTAAACTTATCAGTAGTGTACTCGGTTCACCTTGACACAGAGAGCCCAGTCATCCGAAATCACGAGAATTCTGGCTTCCTACTTGGGCGAACTAGTAATACATAAAATCAAATTTGTGATTTTCAAATTCCAAAATATCAAGAGGAAAATCACAACAGTTTCCTTCGGAAACCAAAAAATATTCCGATCATAGTATATGTAATTTTTTTGATACCACAAATAACTAACAAGATAGCAGTTATCGATGATAGTTGGAGATCACTCATATCAATCAATCGGTAGTATGCAGCGTCATACTATTTAGCTTAGTCTCCTCATTACCGTTTATCGTGTCAAACAGATCACTTATGTTCAAGTGTTGGTTTGTAGGGATTTGATTGATTGGTTGCGGGATTTCATCATGAGCTGACATCGGTTAGGGAACCATTGATAAGCCAGCAGGGAGTAGTGGACAGCTGTTTCGTCCTAATTTGGGGCTCGTCATGAGTGTGCACCCAACGGGATTCGAACCCAGGACCTCGTTACAAGGCAAGCTTGTAGACCATTAAGCCACTGGGACCCAATCCAATAGCCCATGAATTCCAACTGCTGCCAATTCAAAATATGAGGCCACCAGATCACTTATGTATTGTGATCTGAAAAAAAGCTTTGGTGATCTTTCCCCTCAAACTCTGTTATTTGTAAATGATGAATTTGATTCTTGCAAACGTTCCTTTTGATATTTCTGTATAGTGCTAACAACATGATGATAAATGGCACAAATTATTTTATTTCAATGTACAACTGACAAAAACGCACACTGACTTATGAGTGAACTGTTATTGTGATGACTAAAATCAATTCAGTATCACCTGTCTGTTTTCATGTGAACTCAAAGACTTAGAATAAATTAAAAATTCACATCACATGATTAGTAATCCAGAAGGGATTGTTACCTGAGTAACTACTCTGCGTCAGTGATATCAGTGTTTTCTCCTCTGAAGCAGGCAGTCAGTTCAGTCATATATAGCCTTGGAACTAAATTGCACTGGTTTAATGCTTAATCGGTTAATCACGAGTACATATTACGGAGTATTATGCAATACAATATGTCTAAAACAGTGCATAGTGTATACTGAATAGGTTCATAGATTTTAATTTAAGTGAAACTCATCGCCTCTATGACTTTCACAAAAAGATGTTTCTCTAGGTTAAGGCATTAGTTTGATAAATAGATTTCATTCACTGGTAAAGAATAAGAAGAAATTTTGTTTTAGAAATCTGCATAAGTGAAAAAAAATTAATGAAGTTCTAGATGTTTGAAGTAATCACAGTTGAAGTATGTAATGATAGAAGTTGGCAGATAGTTCATCTTTTTATCAGCAGCACGAAGCTTTCCATATTAAATAGGTTAATTTGATGTAATGATTCACAGCATGATATAGTACTATTAATAACGTTTCTGATACAATTTATCGCTACTCATAATAAATATCAGTTTAGTCATACGACTTCATAATTTGCTTTATATACTTTTAGCTTCATCTGTATTTATCAGAATTTTTCAAGTATCTGATATATGGGCATTGTATTAGTTTAACTCTACTTGTTTAGTGTTGATTCGATGAACAGAGGCATGGAGATTAACCTCTATCTACAACTCATTATTTCACTTTTGCCCTATTCAAAACTAGGATGAAACGGCTGTCTAGTATTTCCTGGTTCTCTAAATGATGTCAGCTCCTTATCGAACACGAAACAAGTCAAATTCTTACATATTAACTCTTCAAAAACGTACAGTTAAAAGTGAAACAACGTCTATGCCAGATATCTGAGAAATTCCAAAATGAAAAACGCCAGGAAATGGAAGTATGTAAAGGAAATTATGAAGTTGTGTGAATACATTGATATAATTATGAGAAGCAATAAATTCTGTAGGGCATTTCATTCACTTATTAACACTACTGTATTGCTGTATGTACATGTGTTTGTGTCATATCAAATAAACTCATGCAGTATGGATTTATATTCTACCACAGTGCTCTAATTCTACTGCTGTTGACAAACTGTTATTAATACAAATTAAAAAATGTTAACATAGAAAACGAGCATTTTGATCTAACATAGTTAATCAATGAGAAATACAAATTAGCCCAAAAACAAAAGAGGTGGCTGTCGTTTCCTTCGAGGCTTAGTAGTAGATAATCCTCTGGCGTTCGAAACGATGAAAGCGAAATGACTATCACCCAGTGGGAGTGCAGTCACAACAAGCTGACCGGTATTAAATAGTACGAAATGCGCAGCTTTCATTCCCCTGTTGTTCACCACCTGGCCGTGATTCGGGGTTTGATTACCCGACCGCTCGACCTTGCTTAGCCTTTAGAAAGCCCAGTAAAGAGGGAGTTCTGGATGTGAGTCAAGCGACTGGAAAAAATAAACACTACTGCTTCTGAAACTTCAAAGCTCAAGCATGAAACCCTGTGTCCCATTTGGAACTCAAAGGAATAAAAAATAATAATAAATTTATAAATTGTAATATTTGTGAAAATCAACCCACCAATATCAATACATTATCTTAGAATTTTCGAGGAACTCACCAAGCAAAATTCAAATTGAAGCTTGTAATTTTCATTTATGTATGACGTTTCCTTTTGTACCCAAGTGCTTTAGATACTATAACGATGAATACAACTGCAGTTGTCAGAATCCCATACATAATAATCAACGAAAGGCCAACGTGCATTCCAATGTTGAACTCGTTTCTATCATAACGTATATACTTATCAGGATTTGCGAGGCCTTGTTCCAGAGTTACCATTTGAACAAATGGTAGAAAGACTAGGAAACTTGCCAGTACAACATTTCCATAATTCAACATTTTTCTTTCTTAAATGAGAAGATAGCTTTGAGAACACAAGTGTACCAAATATGTATGTACACAAGAAAAAATAACACAAACTAGCGCAAATTTTAATTTGATCTTGTTCAAATTTGTTTTTTATTTATAGATTGAGGGACCAATCAGAAAGTTCCTTGGGGTTATTTGATTCTGATTGGTTAATCACTGGTGATTTATTATTCCTTTACAGAAATAAACATATTCAGTCAATTAAATGCTTTCACTAAAGCAACATCTAATGATGTTAAAGACATGTAGTTAAAAGACATGCAGCTGACATTTGATCATGTGGCACGATATTTCAGATTTGTAAATTTTATTTCAAAAAAGAGAGAATTGTATAATTTATTCTAGATGTCTATTGGTCAATTAACTGACTGAACATTGTCGTTATCACTTGTGACGGAAGATCACTGGTTGTACATGCGTAGTGTTATGCATTTATTATTTATCATTATTTTGTTCCTCGTAGTCCTGAATGGAAAACAGGGCTTCAAGTTTTGGAATTCCAGTGGCGCTTGTGTTGTTCTTACGGGGTGGAGTTGACAGCGTCACGCATGCAAACTTCCCTCTTCTTCAGGCTTAATCCTCAATAGACAAGGTTAAACAGAGTGCACCGGCAGGGAGCTGAACCATAACCGCGAGCGTGGCTGGTGGGTATTCTACCGTTAAACAACCAACGCACAGATGACTTTAGTTAGAAGTAATTCTTCTGAGAAAAATATCAAGCTCCCATACCCAACTAAAACATACATCAGAATGATAAAGCCAATAAATGCTACCCGAGAACTAACATCATGTCAGAAGTAATTAAGGAAAAATGAAAACATGTAAAAACAGAAACAGACATAGAAGAGTTTGTCTGCCTGTTTAAGTTTTTAAGTCATCTGGTTTTCTCCTGATAATAATGATGCATTGAGTTTACTGCGCTTTCTATTGTTCGTATAATTCAATGCGCGGTTCAGTAGTAAGTTTTTATGACCACTGAGATGCATTGAACAGTATTTTGATTTCAAGCTTGATCACCAAAGTTTTTTTTAAATTGAATTTTAGATTTTCCCGTCGATTGATTGGACCGAAGTGCTGGGTCTCAGGTTGACATGTCGGCTTCTTGAGCAGATGCTTCGACGATGTCTGGGCATTTAATTGATGAATGGTGACTAGCAGTGGAATCCAGGATACGCATTTCGCCCTATTCGGGACTCGTCACTGGATGTACCTGCATTTCTGAGTGAGTGATGATGCCCTGTATCCACCAGATGTTTGGAAATTGCATTCTGTGAATATCTATTTCTGTTTAGGAGTAAATTCCTTGAAACATCCTCAGAAAACCAGACAGAAGCCCTTTTTCTGTCTATCTGTGGATTGTAAACCAGTTTTGAATGAGCTCTTAAGAATAAGTTAACCATTGAGCTAACTTTTAACATAGTGACTTAATCATTAAGAACACAGGTTGCACAGCTTCAATAGACTTATGACATTTTTTAAGTCAATGATTGAAGGGAGACGTCCGCCTTCCGACTTGAGTTAATTACACTTCCCATCGTCTATCGGCTTCTTCATAAAAACTTCACTGTGACATTTTTTCAAATGTCGTTGTGCATCCTTTTTAAGATATTTCCACTTTTGATTTTTCTCGATCGTTAAGGACTGTTAGAGTTTTATGTGCAATATCATTCTGGTTCATTTCAACAGCACCAAAGCGTTTATTAGGCTTTTGTCTTCATCCAGATATTGTAAGTCAGAGGGTTGATGACACAAGTCTCCGGGCGTATTCTACTGATCCTCTTCTTGTGAATATGAAACTTGAATCCCAGAAGCAAAGCCTCGAATTCAATTTTGTCTAAGTTTAATTTGGACAGACTGTTTATTTTTACGAGTTGATCACGGATCAATATCATTTAGAGAAACATAGAAAACTAGGGAGTACTGGACAGCTGTTTCATCCCAGTTTGGAAATCATCTTCAGTACGCACCCACTTCCAGGGTTCGAACCCATGATCTTCCGGTTATAAGGCAAGCTCGTACACATTCAGCCACTGGGCCACTGAATCGAGTCCCAGTGCCGATGATTCCCAAACTAGGATCAAACAGCTGTCCAGTATTCCCTGGTTTTCAATGGTTCTCTAACTGATATCAATCCGCGATCAACTCGTAAAAACAAAACTAATCCTTACAAACTAACCATAGACCGTCTATATAAAATTCATGTATTTGAAGAAACTCTTTATTTAACTTTTCTTTGACCAAGGGTTTCATCAGCTGAGGGTCATATTCTTTCAAAGTTTTGGATTTTAGTTAGTTTGCGAAGTTCATGAATTCTAGATAGAAAATAATATTTAGCCTATTCTCTAAACAATCATAGATGGCCAGATATGACTTAAGGTTGGAAAAATGTTGGTTTGAAGATTCAACATGAGATTTGGTTATTCGAAGGATGTTATTTTGATAAGGCAGGAGTTTAAGTGGTAGTTGTTTCACAAATTGGAGTGAAAGTTCTCTTGTAACCTGATCTTCATCGACTATCTAGGGTATTCTGCCAAGTATAGCTACTATCTGATTCAGGGGCTTAATCCTTTTTATAGGGTGGCGTGTTTTCCAAAACTTGATATACACGGTAATCCTGATAATCATGCATATTAGGGATTTCAGTTTACTGAGATAATTTCAATTTTATGAATTTTAGTTTTCATACATTTGTTCCCCTTAATGAATTTGAACAAAGCAACAACTACAGTTTTAGGAGAATAAAATGGTACCATATTTTTTATGATTATTATTGCTCGGAATTGTGTTCAATATTGCATATATATATTTATATGTATATATTATTAGTGTATGTGTATATTGATCGATTGATTTCTGTTTAAAATGAACTCTGTGTAAGTATGTTAAATTGTTTTGTAGATACATTTAATAATGTTTTTGCCCTGTGAGCAGCTGAAGAGAAGGCAACGAAATAAAATATGGTACCATTTTATTCTGCTAAAACTGTAGTTGTTGCTTTGTTCAAATTTTAGTTTTCCTGAGTTGTTACGCAACTATGTAGGCTAGCAGTGTTTACTATTTGTTTCTGTTATTTGCATTCTCCTGCTCCTCAGTTTCTACGTTTAAACGCATATAAATTGATGGTGACTTCAACTAAAAATTGTGCTGTTTACATTTTCTCTTCCATCATTCCGGCACTAAAGTATGATATTTTCATTCATTTTTCCATAACCACAGCAATTTCAAGTAATCAGTCTTCAGATGATGACAACTTGTGAAACAGAATGATGTCATTCAGTATTGCACATTTAGTCTGTTTTACATCATTGAAATATATCAAGGGAATCACCTGTATGGAGGAAAAACATCCTCCAGACAAAATATCAAACACAGATCAACATACTTCAAATTATTTTTTCTTATGTAACATCTTTCAATCTTGTATAACACAGAGAAAACAATTTTCTTAGATGGATTTCAGGTATTCACTGCAAAAATTAGTTGTTTATATGTGGAGTGATGTTATAGATTGTTGACCTGAAGAACAGTCAACACTAGAAAGTATATATATATATATATACATATACATATAGCATCATGAGATATACTAAGAAGGATTTTGGTGATCTACCTCGATTGTAACAAAATTCAATAAATGTTTCACTAGTATTTCTGAGAGTAAACAACCAACTCCAGGTGAGTGGAATAACAATAAAGGAAGAAAAATGTGATTATTGACGTACAATACTGATGATGATGACAATAAGACCAATGAGAGCAGAACTAAAGCCTAATGATGGATGGGGGTGACGAAATACAGTAGACAGTGCGTCGGTGGCACAGTGGTTAGGACTCTCGCCGACCATGAACATGGTCCGGGGTTCGATCCCCTGCCGGAGCACACCCGATATCTATTGTCGGCCTGAATTTAGGCTACCGGTTTCTATGCTGAAATTTCCACACTTGTACTGAAAATACGGTGTGGAATCAAGCTGTAAATCAAAATAAATAACAAAATTAAAAAAAATAGAAAAGCGTATATTGACTACACACACACACAATTCGCAAGTCATATCACCGTCCCTTCCGTATCAGGCATTCACTTTTTCTTCGTTACTTTTCTGAGGCATATTGGATTCTTCTCCTCAACATTTTCATCACTTTCTTTTCGCCTTCATCCTTCACTGACTTTCCAATTGACATGCCCACTACCGTTGTTTCAAATTGCAGAGTAATGGACAAGTATTCCGACAGGTGCTGGTACTGTTCTGTCTCGCTATCTAGTCTTTTCATACATTTGTCTGAGTCTATAATTTTAAATAGATTCTCCAGAGATTCTTTCCACCACAAATTGACCTTCAGAATTCAAGTTCACTGGAAATATATGAAATAATATTGGTTGAATATAAGAAATTATCTCCATCAACAATAATAGAAGACTAACTCTTGAGTGAAGTCCAAATGTATCACATCAGGCTATGAGAATCTACCAGTCTTGTGAAAGTCTACTAACTGTAACGTTGCATAATGCTTATTCTATACAGAACAGAAAACTGTTCGGACTAATCAATTGGTCCATAGTTAAACAGTTTATCATATTCTTGCTCGTTACTCTATTGGGTTCTGAATGGAACATAGGGCCTCAACAGCACATCTCCACTTCATCCTGTCCTCTGCAATTCTTTATAGCTAGCTGTACAGTTGTTCATAAGCTCTCATCCCTTCCTCTCATGATCTCCTTCACGTAATCCTCGAGTCGACGCCCAAATCTTCGTTTCTGATTCGGATTCCACTAGACGGAGCGACATGTAGTGTCACCTAATGGTCTCATCAACGTATGTCCAAACCATCTACATTTCCTCAGACATACATTTTGGGTAGTAAACCGTTGGCTAGTTTGTTGCTCGATTGAGTTCCTTGTTGGCAGTCCTCCTTTCTGGTCGGCTGTGTGATCTTCATTGTTGTGGAAAGTCTGCATTAGCCTGTCGGAA